CTCCATAGAGGAAGTTTCAGTCTTGTTCATCCTAGATCCCGGGGTAAAAGAAAAACGAACTCAAAATGGTTGTATTGTGACTTCCAAAAAGTAATGAAATTACAAGATATGAGGGTTTTGGGATGAAGTGGATAATAATTTTAATGAAGATTTATCATGCTCACTAATGAGGAGAATCTATGATAACCTTATTTAAGAAAAGTTGTGTGCTCGGATCTATTGTGATTCTCAGATTATGAATTTCGAACCCCCACATAATAATGTTTTTCCGTTTCAGCTGTTTGTATAATCTTTAACTTAGAAGAGATGGTTCTTTTATTGCTCCCAAATGAACCATTTCTAAACCAATAAACATCTAATAAAAAACGAGATTGACATGTAGAGATTTTTCAAAATTGACAGAAATTTTAATAAGGATATGCCAAATCCGTATCAAAAATATGTTGACATGATATATTTGACACGAAGTAGCGGTCAATCCGTGCCAAATCCGTGCAGATCCCATATTTTTTTGTAGTGATCAATAAATATTTATAATTATAATTGATAGTAATCAATAATATGGCTTGCTGAAATGATGTAATATAAATTCCCCGGCTACCCCAAACAAGTTCTAAATGTCTTCCGAAATGATAGAACCTACGTAGTAATTAATTTAAGCGCAAACAGAAAAACCAATTTAGAAGTCTCAGATCATGGAATAAAGCAAAACATAATTAGAGCTCTAGAGAGATCAAGTTTGGTCAAACTGGATTTCTACAATTTTTCCGCCATTAGGCTACATTGTATTCACTTTCCGCAATGAAAAGTGAAGGATATTAATACACCTTTGACCTCTCCATATCCAACAAAAACGTTATGGATCTTATGATAGATGGAAAGTAAATAATCCAAAGTGATTAACTCAAGTCGTTATATACGGAGTACTCTTTAGTACAACACTTGCCTTCTATGATTATATAGTCATTCATTCTACGGAAAGCTTCCAATAAAGAGTGAAATTGAAATGATGAAAAACTTTTTGAAACTTTAGCTATTGAAAAACACAGGATCGGGATTGACAACCGGTGGAAAGAGATTGGCGGAAATATGTGAAAACCGCACCAAAAACATTTTGACACGTGCTATTTGGCACAAACTCATCTGTCAATCACGTAATTTTTTTTGTAGTAAGTTTAATGTTTATATGACGTGCCATACTAGAATGTATAAAAATAAGTGAATATGAACAAATGAAAGTCACTAGAACAAATTATTTATTTATTTTTCCAAGTCTTCCAACTAAAAAAGATGCAAAAACATTTCTGGACTCTGGCGAATGTTGGTACCATACCATTCTTCATACACAGAATATATACTCGTGAACAAAGCTTCATATTGTCCAGTAAAAACTTCCCACTGCACTGCTGATGTTCTTTGGGTGTATTTAAATTCTAACAAACCAGAAATCATGATCGAAATTGTGTTCTGGAAAAGTAATGCGAATTGAAGTAATAATGTATTGCAGAATGACCTTAACAACACATTCTGCGCCAGAAACCACTTATTGAACTCCATAAAGTTCAAAGTATAAACACATATATTTATATATACTCAAAAAGTATAGCTTTTGGCATAGGACATTTAGACTCACCTGACTATTGTCAGTCTTTCCATCAGGTTTTGCACCATAAGAGATGACGTTGAATACCCTGACCGTTACAGCAGCGTCGACGACCAGACCTAAAATTAGTATTATAACAGTACAGAAAAGCATCGCCCTTGAATCCATTTGTATGTCTTTTCTGCCTGTTTCTGTTTTATTCACCTTTAACACGTATATGGACGGCAGCATATAAAGAACTCAAGTGGGTTAATTACCTCAATCAGTGGGTGGATATAACATATACGGACTACGGAGTATTATATATATACCCCACCCCCCCACCCCACCCCCCACACCAAAATAGAACAAGTGGATTTTCATTCACCCGGGGAATAAGGGCTAGTTTGCAATCGCTTTAAAAAAGCACTTATCACCTTTTGGCTTTAAAAAAAATTTATTTACCAAAAACTAACAATTTTGTTACTTTTCTCGGTTTTCATGTTAAAAGTGTTTTTCCCCCTTTTATACACCAAAAGCACTTATTTTACCAAACACTACCAACTTTTACTTTTCAAAATCACTTTTTTTTCAAACACTATCAACTTTTACAACTAATCACTTTTTCCAAATCACCGCTTTTTTAAGCAGAAGTGTTGCTAACACTCCCTAAGTAATGCCAAACACTTTCTACCTTTAAACTTTTCCTTTCCATTCTTAATTTTTCTTCTCACTTTATTTATTACTCCATTTTCTTTGGGTTAGAAATGTTTTCTAATTATCGAAAACTAATGGGTATCTCGAATATAGAATTTGGATATTTTAGGATTGATTGAGTCTGAATTTTCATAGAAATCTATTGATTCTATCATATTCCAATAAAACTTTATGAAATCTATAAGAATCCTAACCATATATATAACTGATCGGATTTTTATATTGCCATGTTTGGCAATCGACTGTTATTAGTTAGCTTTAACTGATTGTAATACGGAGTAGCTGTTTAAAAATAGTTGCTGGTTACGTCAGCTGTTTGAGTTAGCTAGTTATTTTAGCTTAAAGTAAACAGATGTTTGGTATAATTAGCTGTTTAAGAATAGTTGTTAGCGCGTGAAAAAACGTATGAGGACATTAGTAATAACAATAATAACAATAATAACAACAATCACAACAATAGTAACAATAACAACAACAATAACAATACTAACAATAATAACAACAACAACAACTAATAATAATTGTAATCATATTTATAATAGACTTTAATTAGATGGAAACCATAATGACTGATGTGGTGCAATTTGCGAACTCGTTTTAAATATCTTTGATGTAAATGTGATGCTAAATAAAGACCAATTTACTAACAAAGATACACCAAAGAGGATAGACATATTTACTATTGAAATTTAAAAAAAAAAATTAAATACGGAGTATTAAATTTTAACAAAGAGAGAAACGATGTTCCAAAAAGAAGAAGAGAAAAGCGAATAAAATACTATTCTGGAAGACTTTGCAGCCTTGCATGCACTTGCGGCGGGAAGAATTATATATCACCAAGCCACACTCATATTAAAAAACTAAAAAGAGACACGAACAAGTAACAACGTGCAAAGATGATTTAACAGATGCATAAACTTGAGGGTGTTTTCCCAAAATACGGGAAAAGTCAGCATGTAGTGCAAAAACACGGGAAAATTGTAGGGTTTCTAAGAAAACGAAATTCGGATGATGATGTTCCGAATAGATTTAGGGTTACGAGGGAGAGTAGGTTTAGCAGGCATTCCGAAAGCAAAATTCCAAATTTATTAATTTATTTTATGTATTTTTTAAGTATTCGGAACATGGTGTTCCAAATAGAGGTTTTTTAATCATTTGATGCACCATTCGGATGATGCACTTCCAAATCTAAATTTTTTAATTTTTATTTTACCTATAGAAATTAAATTTGATATGTATGAGTAACTATTTTAATTAGGGGTGGGAAAAACCGAACCGAAACCCGGAAACCGACCCTAAATTGACCCGAATTATGATCCCGGGGCGGATTTTTTCTTTTTAACGTACCGACCCAAACGTACAGCACTTGTTTCTAGCTCTAAAAACACTCCAGCCTTCTCCGAAAAATCCTTTTGTGTTCACAGCTTTGTTCTCGTTCGTTGGAACCATAGTTTGAATGCTAAACTATTGTTCGAAGCCATCGTATCCTGAGAAACGATCGTTGCAACGCTCTTAGCACCCCGGGAGGCAACGAATACGTTTTAAGGAAATCGTGCATAGCACGAGCTTTGGCTTATTCTGCTTCATCTCATTTCTTGTTTTTCTTTAAGTCATTTTATTTAATTAATTTCTATTAATTATTTTTCTTAGTTTTTCGAAACACACCCTACAGTAATGACCATTAAATATATTTACAACAACTCTAGTCACATTTATCTATAAATTTTATTTCGTAATATTTTTAAGAAACCTATATTATTTATTTACATGCATCTTAAATAAAATATTAAGATAATTATCTTCTTTGGATTTGAATTGTTGGTGATTTTGGAGACTTATATTTGTGTTATTATTTGCGATTTGCATTTTTGATTAATTTTGTTTGAAAATAGGTGTTAAAGTATAAAGGAACAATGAAATATTTCAAGTTCGGGCTTTAACTGATCCAACCCGAACCCGGACCGAACCCGGGCTACCAAGAATCCGACTCGGACCAAATATAATGGGCTTTGTTCCGGTCCCTAATTTTCATAACCCGAGATCTTCCGGGTAATTTCCAGGTTTAACAAAACCCTGACCCAGACTGGACCGTTCCCACCCCTAATTTTAATATGTACAATTTAAATTTGTAATATTGTAACCCATACAATTTATTTGTTTTTGTAATATTTTTTAAACGCAACTCTTATAAAAAAAATAAAGGGATGTATCATTTTTAATTTTTTGTTGAATTGTGTTTTCAATGTTGCATTTTTAATTTTGTTTTTCTTCATTCGGAAATTACAATTCCCAATTGACCCCGCATTCCCAATTTTCTTTTTTTTTTTTCATTTGGAAAATAGCATTCCAAATTGACCCACCTCCCATTTCCTTTTTCCATTCGGAATACCCCATTCCAAATTGACCCTACCACCTCGCCCTAACTCATTCGGAAAATGACTTTTCGAATCCCGCTTTTTTGTACCCTAATTGGAACTCCCGTGTTTTTACGCGATGTGTTAGAAACTCCCGTGGTTTCGGAATTGTCTCTAAACTTGAAGCGGTGAAGGGCATAAAAGAGAGAGATGGAACAGCCGATGCAAAACGCTGCCCCCTGCAGCGTTTCAATATTTAGCTGATTTGAGTGCAGTAAGCCAAACCAATAAGCCATGAGAGAATTCCAAAAGTAGGAGTAAAACAACATGGGTTGACTAAACTAGCCTCAATGAATAACTGATTTCTTTATTAATAATGAATACGGAGTATTACAATACCATAGTAAAACAAAACAATAATACAGAGCACAAGTTTTACAGAGATGTGCGGGCGTGCTACCCCAAAATAATGCAGACAGCTCAATGACCCTGCTGGCCGTTAGACGCCACCACAATTGAAATCCAGCCGCAACACCTGGCCGCACATCTGAAAATCGTCCGTAGCAGTCCGCCTCATCAGGCGTGGTCGCCGCCGGCGCTTTATTCGGCGGTGCCGCCTTCTCACTTTGTGCCACCTTCTCCTCCAGCGGGATTCCGGCGAGACTGATGTAGATTTTTGTCAAAATTTCATGCTTGCAAAAATACAGAGTTGAGTCACCGTGCATCTTAACATTAATTGCCAAAAATTTCATTTTTGAGAATGAAAACATGGCATTATAACTGATGTAAGAGCACTAATTGTCAAAATGGCACCACTCTGGTAATGGCACAAATTGCCAAAATATAATTTTTTTAAGAATAAGAACATGGCAATACAACTAATTTATGGTTTAAAGACTAATATTTCCATCTTCAGATTCGAATCGAAAATTTTTTATTCAGAAGGATAAAAGAATATGAATCAATTTTTTTAAGAGCTAAATCCGAAAAAATAAATAAAATAAGATCCAAAATTACCAGATCTAAAATAGCAATTTTAGGTTTGAATCTCAAAATTAAACAAATGAAACCGTAGAAAATAGAAAAAAAATCAAGAGAATAAAATAGAGGAGCGAGAGTGAGGGAGAAGCCGATGGAGGAGGAGGAGCTTAAGAGGAGAATATCTTACCGGAGATCGAAGACCGTCGCAGCGTCGGAGACGGGAAGACCGGCGAGAACTTGTAGCGTTGTAGATGTGAAGTTGGCTGCCGGAGATGGAGTGTATTTTTTCCGCCATGGAAATCCATGGGAGAGAGCTATGTTGTAGATCTGAAGATGGGAGAGAAGGGAGATGCAGAGATGAAAGAGGAGAAGTGGCGGTGCAGGAGGCGTGCGTGACTGAGTCAGAATAATAAGTAAAAGTGAATTATTAATGTATGAAGGGTAAAACTGGAATGTAAGGTCCTTGAGAATTTAAAAGGTTCGCTCCTACTTTTGCATCCCCATCATGTTTTACTCCTAACAAAGGTAATTTCTTATCAAAAATTCCTTTTGTACACGTTTTTGTACCCATCAGTACACGCATGTGTCTGTGAGAGTTTTTTTTTGTCTGTGAAGTGCGGTCCACAGACAAAAGCTTGTTTGTTTTGTCTGTGAAATTTTCCACAGACAAAACAAACGAACTTATGTCTGTGGACCGCGCTTCACAGACAAAAAAAAAACTCTCACAGACACATGCGTGTACTGATGGGTACAAAAACGTGTACACCAAGAATGGTTGATTTCTTATAAGCCATTTATCAAACAATAAATTTAGTTGATTAGATAGTCAAAGGATGTTTTCTTTTGGACTGAAATTTGATGGTCTGGTCTGATCTGGTCTCGTAAACGTCTAGTCTCTGTGTATTTTATAACAACGGAAGTCTGATCTAGTCTGATCTGATCTGATTTGGTTTGGGACTGAAAACAGTCCAAAAGAAAACATCCAAACTCATTAATTATGTGTTTTGTAAGCTGATTGATTAATCAAGGGTACCAGTATACGTGGGAGCGTTGGAGGGGTTCACATAACTGGGTGGAAGAAAAACTTGACAGAATCCTCGTCTCGGAAGGTTGGTTAGATATTTTTGGTGGAGCCCGGGCTGAATCTGTTGAAGGATCCCCTAGTGATCATCTCGCTCTTTATATTAAATTATCCCCATCTCAGGGGGTTCGTCGGAGACGTAATTTTAAATTTGAGAACGTCTGGCTCCGGGATGCAGATTGCCGAGAGATTGTTGCTCGCAGTTGGGGTTTGGGCAGAGAACTTGGAATTATGGGTCAAGTTCACGCCTGTGGTAGGGCAATAAGCGATTGGGGTTATCAGAAGATTGGCTCCTATGGCAAACGGATTAGCTTTTGCAAGAGAAGGATGGATTATTTACGACGACGCAATGATTCCTGGAGCGTTGGGGAATTTATGAGGGTTAAACAGGAGTATGTGGAGCTACTTGTACAAGAAAATATTTATTGGTGTCAGCGAGCTAAAGAATATTGGCTTCAGGGCGGTGATCTTAATACTAAATTTTTCCATAATTCGGTTAAGATTAGGCGGCGCAAAAATAAAGTTGACGGCTTCAGGCTTGAAGATGGTCGCTGGGAGGATGACCGATCTGCTGTTGGTCGTATAATTGAAGATTATTTTAATAATCTGTTCTCGGCTGGCAGGGGCAGCAACAATTTTATCTTTGATTTCGTTCATCGGAAGATCGAGGATCATCATAATGCGGACCTGATTCGTCCCATTCGGGGAGAAGAGGTGAAGGAAGCTCTTTTTGATATGTTTCCCGATAAATCCCCTGGGCCAGATGGATTTAGTCCGGGGTTTTATCAACATTATTGGGATGTGGTGGGACCTGATGTGGTTGCTTTCTGCAGAGTGGCTTTTGAGACAGGTAAACTACCTAGTAGAATTAATCACACTAATTTAATTTTGATTCCCAAGAAAGACAAACCTGAAAATATGGGGGATTGGCGGCCAATAGCTCTTTGTAACGTCATCTATAAAATCTTTTCTAAGGTTTTGGCAAACAGATTGAAGAAATGGCTGTATTTGTGTATTTCTGAGCAGCAAAGTGCGTTTATCCCAGGCAGATACATAGTTGATAATATCATGGTTGCTTTTGAGTCCCAACACTATTTGAAGAGGAAAAAACAGGGGAAGTTGGGCTTTGCTGCTTTGAAACTTGATATGAGCAAGGCCTATGACAGAGTGGAATGGCCTTTTCTAGAAGGGATGATGCGCCAATTGGGATTTGGGGAAAGGTGGATAGGGCTGATAATGGAATGTGTCACCTCTGTTTCTTATTCTATTCCGTTTGATAATACTGAGATTGAACCTCTTATGCCGGGGAGGGGTCTTCGTCAAGGCGACCATTTATCGCCTTATTTATTCTTAATTGTCACGGAGGGACTCAGTGCTTTGTTTCGGTACTATGAATCTACTGGACGACTCCATGGTATTAGAGTTGCTCGTGGGGCTCCCATGATTTCTCATTTATTTTTAGCAGATGATAGTTTATTATTTTTCAGAGCCACGCATGATGAGGCAGCCCTTATTAAGGAGACTCTTTCAGATTATGAAGAAGCTTCGGGTCAGGTAATTAACTTTCATAAATCTAAAGTTTTCTTCAGCTCTAATGTTGATGTTGGGTGTCGTAACGGGCTGACTGATCTTCTGGGAGTCGGAGTAGCAGGATCTAGTGAAAATTATCTGGGTTTGCCGGCTTTGATTGGCAGGGGCAAGAAAGAAATCTTGAATTATCTTAGACAGAGAGTGGTTCACCGTATTCATAGCTGGAATAATAAGTTTCTTTCTAAGGCAGGGCGGGAGGTTCTGTTAAAATCTGTGATTCAATCTATGCCAATATACGCTATGAACGTCTTTTTGTTACCCAAGGAATTATGTCAGGAGATTGAGATTTTAATGAACGGGTTCTGGTGGCAAGGCAAGTCCGGGACTGGCATTCGCTGGAGGGATTGGAATTGTCTCAGTAAACCAAAAAAGTGTGGCGGGTTGGGTTTCAGGAGGCTTCATGAATTTAATTTGGCTATGTTGGCCAAACAAGCGTGGCGTCTCTTCACACATCCCGATTCTCTTGTTGGGAAGGTTTATAAAGCACGTTATTTTCCTAAAGGCGATTTCCTTTCAGCTAGTATCGGAAACAATCCTTCATTCATCTGGAGAAGTATATTTCAGACTCAGGAGGTTATTCGTGAAGGGTATAATTGGCGGGTCGGGGACGGTAAGTCAATCAATATATGGGAGGACCCATGGCTTCCGGATCCTGTTAATCCGAGGGTAACCACAGGCATGTTTGAGGGCCTTCAACGGGCAGCGGTGGCCAACCTTATGGATGAATCTGGGAAGGCTTGGGACCTTGATGTTATTGAGGATATTTTTGAAGATCGAGATAGAAGGCTTATTCGCAGTATCCCTATCAGTTATAGGCAGGTCCAAGATGTAAAATACTGGAGATGGGAGGATAACGGCTGCTTTTCTGTTCGCAGCTGTTATAGACGACTTGTAGGGGAGTTAAATCCCTCTTTGTGGGCAGGTTGGACTAAAATGTGGGGATGGAATCTTCCTCCTAAATTAAAAATATTTTTTTGGCAGGTTTGTTCCGGGTGTTTACCATCTAAGGAGAACCTTAGAGCTCGCAGGGTGAATTGTCCAGAGCTTTGTGGACTTTGCGGGGAGGAAAGGGAATCTTTGCTTCACTTGTTCAAGGATTGTGTTGTGGCCAGAGAGGCGTGGGGTGCTGTGGCGTGGAACTGGAGCAGTATTGCAGCAGGTTCCTTTATTGAGTTGCTTCAGTCCGAGTTCCAGGCTAGGAGAAAGGAGGACTTGGAGAAACTGATCTGTGGCTGCTGGGCTCTTTGGGGTGAACGGAATCAGCGGGTATGGCAGAATAAATCCTCCCCGGCGGCTCAAATTATGATTAAAGCTGAAGCTTATGTATTGGGTTGGTCTCAGGCGCAGTCTACCCGCAAGGGACCGAGACTGTCGAGGCATCAACTCCGGTCTTCATGGTGCCGCCCAACTGCAGGCAATGCTAAATTGAATATTGATGCTGCGATTAGAACGGGGAGCTGCGGGTTTGGTTGGTGTGTACGCAATGAAGAGGGTGAATTTTTAGCAGGGGTTGCGAGGCCATGGTTGGGGCATCTTACGCCTTTGGAAGCTGAAATTGTTGGAGTTAGGGAGGCTCTTAGTTGGCTTAAAGAAACGGAGTGGCTTAGTATTGAGGTGGAGTCGTACTCTTCCCGAGCTATTTCGGAAATTATTGAAGGCTCCAGTTGCTCTCCCTATGGTTTGGTTGCAGAGGATATCCGAGAGTTGGCGAAGAGTTTTTCTAGCATTTTTTCTCTCATATTAGGCGTTCAGCGAACAAAGTAGCTCATTCACTTGCTAGAGCTGCTTGTTCTATGTCTGATACGCGTTCTTGGTTTTTTGAAGTCCCGGATTTTGTCATTTCTGTATTGAACAATGATTTAATTAATGAAAGTTAATCTTTTCCCTTGCAAAAAAAGAAGATTGCTTAAGCAGTGTTTGGTTAATTTGTAACATGTTGTATTATTTATATCCAGGTAACAGTTTATCGGGGTTGCTTTCGTGTTTAGTCTTTTAAGTTACTGTATTTCAAAGTAATAGAATCCGCCACCAAATTTTGAAGACTTTTTTGGAAGAATTATCGTAGATTTCTGATCTATGTAGCACGCGGATACGGGGATATGTCAAAACCCAAAAAAGTAGGATACGGATACGGGACCATATTTATAAATATTAAAAGTTATGAGGGTGTATTAACAAATAATAAAAGTTATAGGGGTGTATTTATAAATATTAAAAATATTTTTTTATAAAATATATACATATAATATCTTATGACGTCTACCCATTCATTGCATTGAAGCATTTTTTTTGCAAAACACTTAGTAATAAATTCATAATATTTCTTATATACACTAGTTCATCTCGAAATATAAATATAGTCAATAAGTCATTAATTTAAAATGAGAAATAAGTCAAACAACTACAATCTTGAAATTAAAATTGCATGTACCCAATTCGGAGTATGAGTTAATGACTTAATTCGGATATAGCCATATAGGTCTTATTTGATTACTAAGTAAAATGCAGTTTTAAATTTTCATTTTTTTTAGAATTTTAGTAAGTAAATATTGGTTTTTTTTAATAAAAAAGTTTATATGGGTATCTGTCAGAATACGAGTATCGGAAACTTTCAAAAAATTACAAAAAAATGGAAACTTTTAAAAATTGCAGATACGGCCCGGAAAAGTACGGTACGAGTATCCTAGAGTATCGGATACGGGAACGTATCCGATACGCCGATACGCTTCCTTATGGAAGTATCCATGCTTCATAGTTCCTGATCATTTAAGAGATTCAACGATTAAAAGGGAGTTTGTAGCGCTTAG